TCATTTCCTGAGTGACCGGATCTTAAAGTTACACGTGCGTATGATGTATGAACTCTACGTCACAACATCGATATTAATCTCTTCTTATATCACGGTAGTCAAAAGAAATATCGCCAAACGGCGTGTTTCGGCCGGTGTATATACCCCGTGGCTGCTTTTTCCCGCACTCCTACATCTGTAAATCCGCTTGTTCGCGAAGGTGAACGAGCGCGCGATCGAGATTAACCCCAACGCGGCCCTCAGGTCGAAACAACGCCAATAGCGCCCTGCATCCCGTCGGTCGTGGGACACGCCATATTTTATAGTATCAATCATAGCGCGCAATAAACGAACTGGCGAGGGTGAAGGAGGGGGAGGAGGGAGATTGTGTTGCCAAGATACAGAACCGGTTAATGGGACTATTACGTCTAGACCGACTATCATAGGGGCCAAGGAAGCCGGCAGGGGTAGCGCGAGCAGGATGAAATACACTCCCCGAGGTAGGTAGGTAGGGGATGATGTCGTCGCAACGTGCTACCAACTGTGACTTATGACGTATCACGGCGCACGAGCAACGCCGACGTGGCCCCGTGGGTGAGCTTCAAAACTGAGCTACGCGTTCAATAAGTCATGATTTATCGGAAAGTACGCCACTGCCAGGCCTTAAATTGTTTTTGTCGCCATAATACCGCCAGTTTGTCGGCGTGCAGTGTGAAAGGAAACGTATGACAGTTTAAAAGAGTTCGCTCATACACACACAACGATAGTCACTTAACTGTCTATCAATCGATGAGCAAATGCAATTTTTAACGCGCTTTCGCTTCGAAGAAGTGTACAAGTAATAGGGGATGTATTAGATTAAATACGCGATACCCCATTCTCTCTATTTGAATACACGGTAAAAAGATTTACAATTACTCTTTAATACGTCAAAAGTCACGTGGCGCACATGACGAGCGACAAAAAGATAAGATAAATTATTTTCAGAATTTGTTTTTAATCGGGGATAGTCGCGTGTCGAAAACCGCGATCGAAAAACAAAGAGGAAAATGTAATCCACGGTATAAAAAAAACCCATTTCGTTTTACTCGCATATACGGCGATCTTTGTGAGCGGATTAAATCTGCGCGGAGAATCCGTATGCGCGCGGCTGGCAGTCGCTACCGCTGCCGTTGAAACGCAGAGAGATGAGAAATAAAAATGGTAACGATGCCCGGGATATTATCGACATATTAAACCGCCGTTCATTTGCACGTCTGCTGTTTGAAAAGTAATTACCTCGTTGTCATCGACAGACCGCCATCGAACCGCGCGGTGACTCAACAGCTGCGAGGGCGAACCTCTTCATTATTTTCCAATACCTCTGCACTCGGTACGATATCTACGGGAATAGGAGTGCCGGTTTCATGTGTACGAGCGAGTTTACGAGTGGAATGCAGCGACAGTCCGGAAACTGGTGCGACAATTGTGCTTTGTACTACTCCTATTAAATAAACTTTCGCGTTGATTGCCTTTCTCTCTCGTTCTTCGTTTCATCCGTTCTAGTCAAACTTTTCGTAATAGATATCTAAAGACACCGATGAGAGAAGCGCAAATGCACACATGTATAATTTAAATTTGATTTATTTATTCCAAAATTTAATACAATGATGCAAAATAGTATTTTTATTTGAGAATTAACGCAGTTAAAAAAAGCTTTCAGAAATTATTCAATATGTAAATATATAAATTAATTAAAGAATAAAGATTAACGAAATACACGATATTTTTGCAAACAAAATTTTTAAAATGTAAATAACAGAACGAATGTACAAGGATAGTTTACTAAATTTTGTGGTATTATTCCATATGAAATTATAAAATACTATGAATTATTATATATTATGTGATTTATTAAATAAAATGTATTAAATCAAACACCATATCGCAATATCAGTATAAAATATCGCAATTAACATGTTTGAATATACGCTTCACGTTTCTGTACGCCACTTTATATACAATTATACAATTATACTAAAACTCAATTTTTCTACATCTCTTTTGCTTTGAGGAAAAAATGCTTCTTCCTACATTTCTCTTGCTCTTTCTCTTCGTCTTTTCTCCCCTTCCCTCTCCTTGTCTCTCCCTCTCGCTTTCACGCTCGTGAGTAAACATTTCAAGCGACTTTGAAGTCGTTCACTGGTTAAATAGCCCCGCAACCAAAGCAATTCCGTGTTGGAGTGTTTCGAATCAAAACACCCTCGAACTGTATTTAGAAGTGATTGTCTGTTTGAGCTTTAGAGATTCCCGGCTTTCCGATTGTTATTGGCGCGCAAAAACAAAGAGGAAACAAGCTAGTCAAAAAACGTTATTGATTATGAAGCACGTACTTTGATCGAAATGCTATCGTACGGATAAGTACAAATCATGCGTGCGTGAGTGTGTATATGTGTATGTACGTGCGCATATGTTTACAGTCCACTGACGTACTAAATTTCTCTTGTATATTCTAAATGTATTTTCTCAACGTATGAATATATATTCTCCCTGTAATTTTATCAATAAATTATTTTGATCAATCTAGTAATTGAATCAACTACTTCACCGCATTTGTATACGAGCCGCGAAAATAAACTCGACATCATTAAACGTGAGGAATCGCGATTTAATCCTTGAAAAAACGAAAAGACGCTTAACGAGTTTGCGACTGGAACTCATAATTATGATCACGAGTTTACAATTCGCGGCCAAATGTCGTATTTAATCTCCGGTAAGATCCCAAGACGCGTTAATTACAAAAAAAAACCTGAAAAATTTATCTTTCACCTGTTACATTCAAAGCCTTCTTTAATCAAATAATTTGAATATTTAACTATCCAGAAAAAGGCTGATTTGTGTAAAACACGTTCGCGAATAGGGTTTCGCAAGAGTCCGATTGTTTTTTAAAAAACAGACACCAAAAGCAATTCGAACAGGAATCGAAGCCCAGCCTTGATTACCAGCGTGACTAACGAGACTTCGTTCTTCCTCGGGAACGAGAAGAGCCGTTCGGACCTATCTAGGGAGAATCGATTTAGCAACAACGACGTGCCACGCCGATTCCCCAACAATGAGAGATCGATTTAACATTTGTAATCGAGCAAGCGCCGCCCGTGTCAACCTCTATTCCCCGAGTTCGCCCTATTCGCTTTTAAAAAAAAGGCTGGAACAGGGACTGAAACGAAACCATTGTATCGCGTGTAATTGTTGGAAGTGAGAAATCAAATCGCGAAAACTTTTTCTTCTCTTGTTGACAAGGAACAAGAGGGGTCTCGTTGATACTGTCAAAATCGCGAAAACGTATAGAAAAGAAGAAGTAGGAAAAAAGAGATGGAACGAATGCACGTGATGCGATGGTAAATGCTGAAAAAATAATCACACGTGAGATCGAATGAACGAGAATAATTTTGAAAATATTCGTGAAAAATCGGATCGAGTATCGATATCTCAAAAATGATAAATATTCTCCAAATTTTTTTACCCGTTGTTCACGTATTCGATCATGAGAGGAAAATATTCGTCCATATATTGGGAGCAAGTATGTTTATTGAAACGAAAGGATTATGCTTTTTTCCGGGATATTGCAGAACGCGATATATTGCGCCATATACGGCGCCACACAAACTATATATTCCTCATTGGTTCAAAATATAGCTGGTTATGCGTATACACAGATTACGCGTGCGAGAATGTTGCGAAGCATAAGCATGGGCAGGGAACGTGAGAACAAATATTTGTCGTGATATATTAGAGATGCTATATATCGCGAGTAGGTCATTTCGAGGCACAGCGTCGTGCACACACATACACACACATACACACATATATACACATTACTGGAGTGTAACGCATACATATAGGAACGTAATAGAAGCTTCATGTGTAACTCGATCCTCTCTCCATACACGCTGTCTCTTGCATGCGTAGGATAACGACCCGAGATGCGCTGTCAAAAGATAGTCAACGTATAAAATGCGCTCGTATCACGTTCGAAGGTTTCTCAGACATTCCTGCCACGCTAAAAATCCAGCAAATGCACGAGTTTCGAAACGCTGAAGATGGACTATTTAAATACATGGAAATATGTATGCTACGTGCAACCAGTGGGACGAATATACAAAAAAAAATCTCATATTGCCCTCGTATTCGAAATATGTACATTTTCTCGCACCATGTGTGTCGAAAATATTATTCCAAGAGATACAATAAACGATCAACAACGGAAATTTATATTGTATTTATACATACGCGAAATATCATCACAACAGCTTTTATGTAAACATTTAATCAGAATCGGCTATTGGCACAACGAAAATAAATTAATAGAAATTATTAAAAACCGTGCGAGAATTGTTTTATTTTGCTCTCCCTCTTCATGGCATTCGTAGGTGTGAAATAATAAACATTATTTACAAATATATATATATATGTATGTATATGAAGAACAATATAAACATTGGTCCAAATATCACTGTATTAAAACGAGTACCAATCTATGCCCGCAAGCGCAATGCGACATCTCGTAAATAAATTCAACAAGGATCATCAGAAATCCAACGGTTAAGAAGACAACCATGCATATATTTATAGTAATTTTTTTTCATCTCTATATCGAGTGGCAATTTTATTATGAAAAATATCTGAATTTCTGTATAAAGGTTGCAAAAATATTCTCTGTGCGTATCGATATTTTATTTTATTATTCGCAATTTTAACAGCATCGAATAAATTAAACTTTAAATTAAAAAAACTGACTGTATAATAAATTAACAATATTTAATTTTCCATCATAAAAAAAGTAATACCACCACTTCAATGATGTTCAATTTTCAAAATAAAAAGAGGTGATACTACGTCATTGATCGCGAGGATGATAAAAAAATTGCCATCGCTCATTTTTATATGCTCGATAAAAATAACCTTCCTCTATCACGTAAACAAATAATTTTGTGATTGTTGAGTATATAGATAAGACTCTAGGTCGACCTTGAGGCACTTACCTCGATCAATCTCGCATTCCCGCGTCCCAGGCCGTTGTCCTGACAAATCACAAACTGGTGAGCTTCCTATTTTTTCACCTTGCCGTTCAATCCACACTCACAATGTGACGAATTAATCGCGCGAGCTGAGCCGAGAGGCGTACGTCACAAATGCTGCCACCATTCGCGCGCGTTCGATTTCCACTCGTGGAGCACACACGTTCGAATCGCTCGATTTTTGGAATCCTTGCACCGTTACACGTAAACACAAGCGCGCACGAGAGCACGTCGATTCCTGTCGGTCATCGGGATCGACGATCGGCAATCTTTTTTCGCGAGGAAGGAGACCTCGAGACTCGCGAATGATCGCAGCTGCTCACGCCGACTTGACAATCGTCATCGATCATGCATCGCCGACTTCATATCGTTTCTGACACCGACGCACTTCATACTTTCTCCGTATTAGGCTCTCGTCGCACAAGTCGATGCGATATTCGCATGCACAAGTTCACCCGAATCGTCGCGAATCACGAGCGAAAGGTCTCGCCGGCACGACGAGAGCGATCAACTTTGGTGCGTCCCTCCCCCGCGGCGCTACTCCGCTCCACGTCCACATGTGACCGCACGAAACTAGGGCACATTCGCGCGCACGTCTCTACCCCTCTCTCGCGTGTCTCTCTCTCACCTCGAGAAACGGAACGGCGGCACGACACGTCGCGTCGCGACGCGCAGCGACGTTGTGTCCCGGGATCGCGTAAAAAAACTGTAAACGACGCCGCGAGGCTCTCACGACGACCGAGAGCGTCGTGGAGCGAAAAAGCGCGAAGACCCTACACTCGCGAATCGGCCCGGTAACTGAGTCGAGCAACGTACACGGGTAACGCGGGTGGGGGGGCGCGCGAGGCCGGCCACGGGAAGGGGAAAGCCGAAGATACACCCATGCCACGCGCATGCGTCGCCCCGTCTCGCTCGCTGCTCTCCGTCACTCTGTCCATCTGCCCCGTCTTTTTCCTTCTTTTCTCTCTCTCTCCTTCTTTCCTTATCTATCATCTTCCGCATCTGTCTGCTTCTCGCTGAATCCATTCGCGCTAACTTTCCCTCTCCTTCGCATTCTTTTCTCTTCCGTAGCTTTTCCCTCTTCCGTTGCTTCGCGCGTTTCTCCCTCGTATCTTTTTCTAAGTTTTCGAATTCTCTCTTTACATCGTGTCTCTTCCTTGTTTTTTTTTCTCTCGTCTTCTTGCACATTTTCCATTTTTCCTCTCTCTTTCACATTCTCTCGTATATTTTCTCACTCTGTATAATATACACTCGACGCTACGTGTCACGCTTGAAGATAACTACTTTCGAATCAAACGCGTTTAAGGGCCATCTCACACGAAATTGCATGTGCATAGTATAAAGCCGTATGGGCCAATGAGCATCGAGTATTAAATCGCCATATTGAGTTACTAAAATATAATACTCGATGCTCATTGGTCCAAAAGAAAGAGAAAACGTTCGCACATATTAGCTATCTTCGTACCTAGAGATATTCATGACGCGCCGAATGTATCTTTATTTGTTCTTTCCTGCAATCACTGTACTATCTTTTCATCTACTAACATTTGTTCTCAATTTTCTTTCTTCAACCTTCTATTATATTCGCGCTCAACGGATTTCCTCGTACACAGCGGCTTCCTCAAGGTACTCTTTATTATAAGCCATTATTTCCTCGGAATACTGTTAACCGTAATAATGCAAAATAATAAATTAATTTGTTTGTATAGCACAAAGATGGCGGCGAGCAATTCCATGGTTCATAGAGTTCTTGTTACGAGTTTGCTGTTACGGCGGAAAGAATATTGAGATATTCATTATAGTGCATCGTAAGCGGAGAGGGTAAGTGAATCAATTTGCTATATCGAGGAAAGATTGATACAGACATGTTTTCCTATCTTTGTGCCTTCTAGAATGAATAAATAATTGGCAAAATTGATTGTCGATATGCACACACACACACATACACACACACACACACACAAACACATTACGCAATATTGTCGACATATAACACACTTTATATATTATTTTTATAAAAAAAGATCTCGGATATATCCTTGAACGTGTAATAAAAAAAGCTTGGCATTATTTTGTATGTAGTAACATAAAATTGTGAAGGTTATATAACATTATATAACACCGCATGTTAATCAAATAACTGCTCTTGTGATATACGTATGTAGAAGCGAAGCAGCGAGTGCTCTTGACAATATTTATTATATATTTTTATGAGAACGATATTAAAATATTTCAATTCCGTGTATAAAATCTAATTTATATTTTATGTACTGTGTTAAATAATCTCCGAGGGAGGGAAAACGTATCTGCACGCGCAGAGACGTGGAGAAAAACATTTTGTAGCTTTGATCTCGGTTACAAACGACGACTTCCGTAAATGGAATTTTAATACGCTCTCTGTACGCTGAAGATAAAACGCTTACGCGACTATATGAGACTTTCGGTGATGCTCTATCTCAACGTTCCCATGTTACATCATATCGTTGTATTTATATTTTATAACATGTATCTTATACGACAAAGTAGTAATATGTATCTGAAGAAGCAAAGTATTATCCGAGTCGACATTGAGAGAAACGTTATATTGCTTTGATCTCTCGACTGCAGACAACAACAAATGGAATTTTAATAAATTTGTTAAAATACATACAATATTTACTACGCATTATTCGTGTTCTCGCGTCGCGTCATCAAACAATAATCGAACTATCAAACAATAATCGATTTTAATTTACAGAGAACATTTAGTTCCTGTTTCTGGTTTCTCTCAAGTTTATGTAATTCTCTTCATACTCGATTAATTATACACGTCCATTCTTAGTCTTCAATATTATCCTTTGGGAAATATACGAACGTTTCTCTCGTTCCTTTATATATATGTTACGTCAAACCAAAATAGGTATTGACGTTACGTAATGTCCTAAAGCACGGAATCGATTAACGCCATTCTCTGATGCATGCATCCAAGCGAAACTGTGTTCCTGACATTTATTACAAAAAAAGTCGATGCATTGAGCGTTGCATTTCGAATGGGAGAAAATGCATTTGCGTTTTCTTTGACGAGATATCGCTGAATATATGCTCCGAGTAAACAAATATTAAAGTTTACAGAAAACACATCTTTTTTAGTATTATCCTCTGTTTAACAATTAATCCTCAACACACACATATATCTCGATACCATAAAAAAAGACTTATCAAAGATTTTCTCAAACGTTTCTTGCATAAACAAAAATGACAGTGTTATAATTATTAATATAATATTGATATTAGGCTGCATTTGCTTTGAGCGCTCACACGCTAAAAGCGTCATTCTTTCTTTGATATATAACGAGCAACAAAGCGCGTGAACGCCCAAAAGCGAACACAGCCTTAGATAATTGAAACATACACACACAGAATGATAGTTGCATGAGTATTTTCTTTTCATTTGTTAACAAGCGAAATCAATTACGTTTCCGTGCGAATCTTTATCACGTCTAACAAAACGCGAGATTCGTTTACGAATTGATTGATTTTCCACAGACACTCAAGTGAATGGAGAACAAAGTTGGTTCGATCGTATCGCTTGGTCCGTTCGCTTCGTGTGGACAAACTTGCGTCTTAACTAAACGCGACGACCGAACACGGGCATGTACACGGTGTATATATGTGTCCGCACAAACATATATATATATATATATATATATATATATATATATGTATATACGCGACAACGTGAGTTATAACAATGATCAGCTCGTTACCAACATGTCGGACCGAGAACCACAATAGGGCCCCGACCGGTATCGGCAACGGCGCGTTGTCGCGTGGCTCTTGTATATGAGCGTGTATATGAGCACGATAATCGCGATACAACCGCTGGAACACTGGACGTGTAACAGCGACAGGTTCGAGCGTTAGTCGCGGTCCGGAGAATAGCGTACATTCACATTGACAATGAGCCGCGATCAATAATATGTTGCGACGTGACGGGATCGGATTTTTGACAGCGCGCGATCGCGGCTCGTTAATTCCTTATAATGAGAATCGCTATTTGGTCTGGTAATATATTTCTCTTCTTGTTGTTGTGTCAACGCTGATGCCATATCGGCACTGTATGACGCCCTTTATTCACCGTAAAACTCTTATCGCTATCACTCCGACGCATTTTAATCCGACAAACGAAAGAGAAAGGGAAAGAGAGGAAGAGAGAGATCCAATACGATGCGTTTTAACGTCAGGATCCACGTGACATTTAAATGCTGACATTTAAATGCCGCTTAAGTATTAAAGTTTTTCGCCGCAGCCGCAGTTTGATATCGAAGGGACAATCGAAAAATTCCGAGACCTCCCGATAACGATAATCTTCCGTATCTCGCAAGAGGAAGGGGAGAATCCGTGAGTAAAATTACAACGAAATTGTATACCTCGCGTGAGAAGCGTAATTTGAAGTTACTCTCCTCCGGATGCCATAAAATATCCACCGCACTATCGGGGGCCCTATGGGGAATCGAGTGAAAGGCCGGTCGATCCAATCGCGTAATCTTTGCAGAAATGGAAGAAATTTCCGTCGTTGTCAATCCGTGGCGCAAAATGCCGCTGTCGCCATCGTACGACAGTGACATTTCCCGCTCTTGCCTCGTCATTCAATATTTTTCTCTCTATTATGCGCGATCGTTACATTCCCGACCATTTCTTCCCGACAGAAACGATCAGTACCACTTATCCACGCTCTCTGCCGTCTGTCACGAATAAAAGTGTCTCACGATTCCTCAATGGAGGATACTACACGCGTACATATAACGCGCTATGTATACACGACTAACGCGAGAACACGTGGAGAGATTCGACTTTTAATTAAATGCAATTTAATTATAGTATTCTGCCATCTGTACATCCTGTTGCCAGTTTAATGTTTTACGTTAAAATACAGGGCATCCTTTATCGTTCCATTGCGAAATAATGCAGCCTTCATTTCCATTTTGTGTATTTTATGAGTGCACAGGAATATATAGAGAAGTGTAAAAGTGAGATCCCCCCCTGATTTGTATCAGGATAAAGTTCAAAAGATAATTCGCTGATATTACATATTTCAGGATCATCGACAAACATTTCATTCTAAAGTTTCTAAAGACAAATTCATTTCTTAATGAGGGAATATACGCTCTCACGTTATTGTCACGAGAATTGGCAAGTAACTTAAATGAGCCAGGATTATAGATGAATGTAATTAGCTAGTCGTATTCGCATAGTATGTGTGCGCGCGTGCACATATATACGTATGTGTGTACGTATATGTGTCGGCAACGTTTCTCATGAAACTCCATTTTTCGTACAAAAAGCACTCGGATGGAGAAAGAATTGCGCGCTCGACCTCACTCTTCTCCTCGACCACCTTCAACATCTTTCTTCCTCGTCTCCACCCTTGCATGTCCGGCTATTTCTTTCGCGCGCATCTCCTTCTCTCGCTCCCCGTCTCCTTGCTCTCTTTCTTGTGTAGCGTTATTCCCATTTCTTTTCCGCTTCCACCTTCTCTCCGGCTGGTCTTCGGTGTCGGTATTTATAGCATAGAGAAACCACAGAGTCCCGGGGAAAGCTGCTCAGCAGGATGGAAACTAGCGACCGAACCCATGAACCGTTTCTTCCAACGGCGTTTAGAGGAGTAGCTGTTCCTGCACGCATTGCGGAGAAGAAGCACGTGGAGCCGGCATTCCAGCTAAAAGCCTTAATCGCCGTTTTTACTGCTTTTCTTTTTTGAAGAAAGGAATTACTGCTCCTGCGCTTCGTTGCTTCGCGGGCTCGCTTGCGGTTTCAACGCGGCAACTTCTTACCTCATCGTGCTCTTTAACTGCTTCGCTTCTTTACCGCGGGTAGATCCCGGCGTCGTGCTTCGCGTTGTTCTCGCTCCGTGTTCTTCGTGAAGATTTCTCAGCACACCTCGACCACGTTGAAAGTTTCATCAGTGGAGTTCGATCGATATTCGTAGCGAGCAAGGAATATGATCCGCCAGCTATTTAACGGATCGCCGTACTTAGGCGAGGAGGAATCTCAGATTACCTTGCCCGAGATTTGCTCGAATGAACGATATCTCTTGCGCGTTTCGAAACTCGTCAGAAGTGGTTTACCCGGGCCGGAATTACTTTACCTCCCGGAACGGATCGTGAAATTCTTGTTTGCTTTTTTATTTGCGCGAAATGGAATTTTATCGATACTTCGATATGTGGTCCCCGGTTGCCCGTTCGCAGAAAAATCGTTTTCTCCGCTGTCAGCATCGCGACCATCTCCTTTCCATTATTTCCAGCAGCATTCCAACAGTTAATATTGGAATCTTTCCAAG